TGCAGCATTTAAATGCATATGAATTACATTAAACATTGGCTGAAACCATGTGGTGCAACTTTTTTCCAAAATATTTACATGGGCAAGCAAAATTGAGAGTTAGCTGACTTTTTACTTTCCCTGCATTTATCTTTGCAAATATTTTAACTTATTCCTAATTTTCCAAAGATTAATACCTATCAGTTTTTGAAGATTTGCATGGTATCATCCTGGAACTATATTTGAGGTTGTGATGGGGAAGAGTTTATGAGTGACTCAGATCACTAAGGAATTTATTATTGTTATTATTTTGAAAAAAAGAAAGTTTGGTTAGGGTGCTATATTTCATTTATCATGGGTTTGTGCTGAATGTGCGATATCTTCCAGGAAACAAAATTGTGTATCCGAACTGAGATTTATTTGCCTGGAAAAGGGATTTACAGATTTAGGATTAATGTTATTTACTTATTTTCCCTCATATTGCAGTTTGCTTTAAGAAAGTCTCTGCATCATACATTACTCAAACTGTTCCAGCTGCCCTAGATATTCAAATGGAGTCATATAGAACATTCATTAGCTATGATTTTTTGTTATTACTGAGTGGAGAAAGTTACTTTTAATTTATGAGAAGGTGATTGGAACCTACTAATATTCAGCTTCAGTTACGTTGTCAGAATACTTATGGAATGAATTGTTGTCTTGTTTGTTTATCCGAATGTATGACCAAACGTCTCTGATGCAAACAGTTGCAAACTTTCTGAGTCTATTCTTGCCGAAGTAGCTGTAATTATAGTCGGGTATTGATGCCAACAGAGATTGTCCACCATACTAGTTGATTTTGGTGAAATAAATGTGTCAAATTTATTAGGAGGAATATCATGATATTTAACAATTTTCCTACTTTTCACACATACACCCCGAAGTTCTGAAATCGTATCACGAATATCTCTTTGTCCTAATTCTGTTGTGTTAAATGGACGAAATGGTAACTTTGGTTTTATAAGGTAAAACTAAAACGTTGACATTGGTCTAATAAGAAAGTAATTTGTAAACCTAGTAACAACGTGATAATTTTTTTTTTTTTTTAACTTTTGAGTGCGTATTTGATAAAATGTATGAAAAGCTTAAAGGGAAACTTCTCCCAATTTTTATAAGCCTATTTGGATGTTTAATGGATTCATTTACCCAAATAGTCTACTTTGTAATTGGTTGGAAGAGACTGTTAGGCTTATTATTAATTTAAAAGTCACATGCTAAACTAGGAGAGGTGTCAAGTGTGGAGTTATATTATTTTGATTAATGTTATATTTACACAATCTATTACACCATTTTTATTACACCATGATCATTTTACTAATAATTATTTTATTATAATATTAAAAATTAAAAATAATTAAAAATTTGTATAGATATAACATATATCACATCATAGTATAATAGATGGTGTAAATATAGCATAACTCTATTTTTTTATAAAATGGCGAAAGAATCAAATCAATAGTCTCAATAAAGAGGATTTTAGGCATCTGATAGGAATCAAAACCCACTTACCATTATATCTTAGCTTGGACGTGTCTTCCACTATCTATTACATGAAAATAAAACATGTGTACTAAAAGGTTGAGGTGGGCAATTAAATTAGGCTCGAGTTAAAAGGTTTCTCTAAATCAAGACATGCTTGATATTTTTATTGACCCTTAAACAAAAACAACAATCACTTGTGGCCCATTAGTGGATTCAATTTATGCTTTCATTGTCTCCCTCACTTCTTTTCTGTAACTATGAAACATATCTTCATTTTATTCTTTTTCAATTAAACTTTTAATCATCTATTTTGACATGAATGAATGGGGTCCTAATGGAATTAGCATAATGCTTTTTAAAAATATACACAAACTTTATTTGTTTTCTGCTCTGCCCTTTAAAGATCGTAAAGATATGGTAAGAGCTAAGAGGAAACTTCCTATCAATAACCAAATAAACTATGATTGTCCAATTAAATAATACATGATTATAATTAAATTAATATGATGTAGTGGAGATCATATGCATATTAATATAACCCATGATTGGTCTTAGATTCCGAATCTTTTAATTCAAGAATCACTCTAATTAAGGGACCCCCCCCTAATCATGTGGTATCAAGGGTCGGGTCAACTCATTCATCATCATTCATTAGGTTTTTTTAAATTTAATTAGCAATGGGCATTCAAAATTTACAAGAACTGTAAATATTATTTGGAAGATTAAAAAAAAAAATTAAATTAATAAAGGTCAAACAATTGTGTAAGGTCAATGTTACATATTATAAGTGATACTCTCAATGTATGTAGTTGACATATCATATATCCTGTCAATTCTTTATTTACACATCATAGCTGTATATGTCTAACACATTGGTTAGGATGATAATTTTTTTATACCTCACTTAAGATGCGTAATATATAATAAAATTCGATGATATGTGTTTTATTAAATAATTTCAGAAAATTCATCAACTAATTTTTTATGTTCATTTGTTTTAAACTTGCATGTATTGCCATAAATCTGGGATGTTCATTTGTTTTAAACTTGCATGTATTGCCATAAATCTGGGATTTATTCTAATTAAATGGAAAATAAAGTTCGGGAGAACCACTTTTATGACATAAAATATGAGCTATTGGTGTCTATAAATAAAACAAATAAATAGGATAGTTTTGGAATTAAATTAGAGAGTGGGTGGGGCTGTTTAGTATCACTTTCAAATTATTGGCTTCAGAAAATTAAACAGGTGGACTTATATACGCCCTTAAATATGCTATTCACATTCATTTTTTAAGATTTAAGTACATACCTCATTAGTAAAATTCAAATTGATTCATCTTCATAATTTAAAGCATAATCTAATATATCTAATACAGATTTAACATATTAATACTTTATTTAGTGGAAAAATAAAGTGAAATATTTTATTTATTTATTTATAATTTTCATATGACATATTAAAACATTTTCATGCCTTTGCTTTAACCAAACAATCAAGGGGATTGATTATGACAAATAAATTAAAAAGAAAAAAAAAAAATGAAAGAACAAATACAATTATAATTGCATTTATGTGCACAGTGGTTGACCCAGCTTCATTATGTTATGGTTACTTCAACTAAATTTTTTCAATTCTTTTGTAATTTAATTTAATGATAAACCTAATGGCAGGCGAGCTTACACATTTGATCCCAACATACATGTTACATGTTGGCTTTCTATTCATTAAAATTAGGTCCACTTACCACTTACCACATGCCCCCTCCCCCTTTCTTCTTCTTAATCATTGCTTATTAATTCTCCACATGCTCCCTCTTTTTTTTCTCACAAAGTTTCCACATTAACAATTCCCATTATTCACTTTTGACAAATCACTTCTTTTTTAATGTAAGGGTTTTGCTTCAAACTTAAATGAGTAATTTTATTCATCCATCTCCATCTCATTTATTTATAAAGTTTTCTTTTTTAAAAATGACTTTTATAATAATTTAAGAGGATATTCATTATTTTTTTAAAATTATGAGAAGCTTAAGAGTTAACAATCTCTCCTGAATGAAATTAACCCTAAACTTTAATGAATAACATCTTGTATTTTTAATTATTAGGACTATATAATTGAAATCTCTTATACATCAAGAAACACCAACTAATTTTAGATGTAGAAGACCCACGGCCATGCACACACACATTTAACTGCATTGGTTCCAATTTTCAGTCAAATGAAAATAAAAATAATACTATTTATGCACCACAATCTAGTTTCAACAATGCCGCCATCTGTGTTGTATTTTCTTAATTTACTTAATTTAATCAACAAATACAGGTAACAATTGATCTGGATTTCTATTTTATATGTAAATTGTCGTCAATCTAAACTACACACGTTATTTGGATCCTAATCCCACAATCCAACTTTGGTCGTCTTCAAGATTTAATTGATCTTCGTTTTGTTACACTTAATTAAAGAGAAAATTTTCATCATTAATTAAATTAAAAAAAAAAAAAACAATTTGGATGGAGCACTCGGTCGGCGTGGAATTTGTCTTGTTAAATGGAACTTGTAAAGTTTAAACCCAACCGACCTTCAAAACGGTCAAAACCTAATCGGAGAGATTCCCAAGGATTGTGTAAAATAGAAGAAGGAAGGAAAAGTATTGGTTCCATTATGAGTGGACCTTATTACAAACTTGTGACACATAAAAAAGTTGGATTGTGGTTCCTGCATGCCCATAACCTCTCATGATGATGCACCTCACCTTCACCACTATCTCCACCTCTATCTCAACTCAACTCAAATCAATCCATCCATCAATCAACATCATATCTATTTTATTTAAATCACCAAAACACCCCTCATTTCATCCTTCTCCCTCTTTCTCCAAAACTCTTAATAACACCTAGAGATTTTCATTTTTCATAATAATAATATTATTTAATAAGTAGAGTAGGTAGGCCCCCTTTTACTTGTCATAAACTTCAAGCTCATTTCCTAGATTTTACACTGTACAACCCAATCTCAGCCGTCCAATTCAATCTGTAAAGCTGAGAAAACCCCTATTCTTCTTATCTGCTAGCCCAACTTTAATATAATATTTTCTTTTACAGTATATATAAAACTTGAACCAATTTTATTTTAATAAATAAAGTTAAAGAAATACCCTTTTGAAGAGATTTTGCCGCTTTCTGTGTTCATCTGCCTCGGCCATCCCCTCTAGCTTTTATTACACTACTATTACCTAGTTTTGTCATTTTCCTATGACTCTTGATTTTTGTTTTTTTAATCCTTTTGTCTACTTCAATCTGTCACCGCTCCAGGGTCCTCAGTACCCACAAATTTAGATCCAATGGTTTAAACACTAGGAAGACCAACTCATGACAAACACAATCATGTTGCTTTTCCTTTCTTTTATTTTGTTTAAGCATCTTTTCCTTCCTAAGAAAACAATAAATAAATAAAATATTCTCGCTTTCTTGTTTAACTCATTTTGACCGAAACTCCACTGTCCTTTCCGCTCTTTATAAATCTTCTCAACCTCTCCTCTCTCTCCATTCTTCTCATACTTACACTCTACTCTTTACCCATCTCTTATTTTCTTTCACGTCAAAGAAAAAAAACTCCAATTTCCCTCTCTAATCTCTCCAACAATGGCAGAGACTCCATCCAAACGCCAGAGAGAAGAGACCCAGGTTGAGGATATTGAAGAAACGAAACGCCCCAAGTCGTACAACCACATACTTTCTCTCCTTGAAGATGAAGAAGACGAGTTATCACCGGACTTGTCTTCTTTCATCACAAACCTGCAACAAGAAATCTCCTCTGACTCAACCTTTGACAATACTCCACGTCCAAGCTCCACAGAGACCGACCAAGAAAACAACCCCACAACTGCTTCTAGTACAACGTTGGAAGATTGTACGACAGCGTCTTCAACATCTTCTTGTTCGAAAGAAGATGAAGAAGATGACAGAGAACGAGTTATTAGGCATCTTCTACAAGCTTCTGATGATGAGCTTGGGATTCCAAATATGGAAGTTGGTGTGAGTAGCGTTGAGTATGGTGAAATAGGTTTCAATGGCGGAGATGGAGGGTTTTCTCTGGGTGATGGATTGTGGGAGCTTGAAGATCAAACAGCTAACTACTATGCCTTGTTACAGTCTCAATTATTCATGTAGGACTTGTTAAAGTAAAAGGGAGTAATATTAGGGGCTCGAAAGTAATTAGGAAAAGAATGAGTGGGACTAAACAGAAAAAATGGCGGCATTATTTTGGTCCCTCTTATTTTGTAAAAAAATCATGTGTTCCCTATTATCTTTTTAGAAGATTAAAATGAAGAAGAAAAAAGTAACTCATCTCTTTTTTTTTCCCCCTCTTAAATTAAAACTAATAGTCTAATATTGCAAAAGTCAACAATGAAGGTGATGCTGTCCCTTGAAAAGATAAAATCAGTATCAGGGGCCCATCTCCACATGAGGTAGTAGTAGTAGACGGTGAAAGCGGAAAAAAGAAAAAGGAATAGGAGGTAAGGGTTGTCCGTAGCAAAATCTTGGGAGATCTGTGTAGGTGTAGGTGTAGGTGTACCGACTGGATAATCTTTGCAATCTTTTAACTTGAAAATTACGCGTGTCTTTAGTGCCTGTTGGGATGTTATCTGACCTGTAACAGTAACTTATCGTGCCCATGGCAATGTTAGGTTTTCATTCATTGGATGCTCTGCTCGTTTTATTTATTTAATAAATTAATTCCAGCTATTATATATTACTGACCGAAGATTTTGTTGTCAGATGTCATTTTAACAAGAAGATATTAACTATAATCTTTTATATTTAAAGAAATGATTAATAAAAGAAAAGAAGAAAAGGGTACGTGGCAGCTGGGTAGAATAATAAACAAGGGACCACAAAGGCATAGGCTGTGGGCTATATAGCTGAGTCTATGTGTTGTCTGCCATGCTCATATATACATGCATCATCCGCATCATCATATGACATAGACATACTCAATCACCCTTTTTAAATGGACATTTTAAATTAAAATCAATCTTTTAACTTTATAAAGAAACAGAACTCACACGAAACCATAACTCTGTTATCAATCATACTTCTCTCTCAACAGCCATCACCCCAAATATAATAATTTATAAATAGAAATTTAAAGAAAAGCATCCCAGTAATTGGTTGTAGAGTTATATTTGCAAAGGTGTAGGGTGTTTATTATTTTTTATAGGGATTTTTGAGTATACTATTTTAGAGATTCTAAGTTTAATTCCTTTTTTTATGTTAATAGAGATAGCTATTAAAGTTTTTATTTAATTAATAATTTTAGTGTTTTAAAGTATTAGTTGAGAGTTACCTTGTAAATCATTTAAAAAAAAAAAAAGAATTATATCCAAATAAAATGATCAGATAACAAAATAAAGATCTCTATAATGATTAGCACTGGACAAAACACAACATAAGGATGCTGGTTTCCTCCTACTCTACTGATTGATTACATTTTTGTAAAACAAATCAAAGTGGGTTCTGAACAAAAATTCTATTAGTTGATGATGGAAATTGACTTGATAAGAAAAGAAAAGGGCCGTTCCCGTTCTTCTTCATATAATAGTAAACTAATTAATAAAAAAGTCCATATCTAAGATATAGATGCTCTTAATTTGCACTATCTCGAATAAGAAGAATTTCGCCTCGATAAATAATTGAGTGGGCATCTTTGGATTGGATGTTAATGGCAGACACAATCTCCTTAGTGGGTTTCTTCATCCAGGTGTATATGCCACTCTCCCTTGCCTCAATTTAAGGTTGTTCCTTCTCCTTCTGAATATATTATCTGGTGGTTTGATGTTGCCTCAACTCTGAATAAAACAAAAGGTCCAATTGTTATCGGATGGTAATAATAGAGAGAGGGATGGCTGTGATAAATACAAAGTGTATAATTGAATAGGTCCAAATCCAATTCGAAAGCTAAAGAGATAAAGGTAGTTTGGGTGTCAATTTATTCCAAATCCCAAGTAATAAAATGATGCAACTTCTTGTGGAGGGTAAGGCACAGCCTGGATTGATAGATATGTGTTCCTACTTTGTACAACATCATCTTTAATTGGGTATTTGCTTCACCACTTGCCCTATCTTAGCCCCACAATACATTCATATTGCACTCTTCAAACTTGTAATTCCAATATCTTTTTGTATGGTGTATATTAAAATGGTTGGTTTACGTTGAGTGTTGTTATTCCTATATTTGGAGAAGCATTATGAATGACAGATGACCCCATTCAATATATTATCACTTTATTTTAACTGTACAAACATCAACGTCCAACTTGTTTTTATCAATTATTCGTTAAGCTCTTACACCAACAGAATGTCCACACATGCTCCTCTTTTTCTTTCTAATTATTAAAAAGATATTATGTCCTAAATTTCAATTCTGATTCCTGATTTCCATATATTATTGTCAATCATATTCTCGTATTATCAATACTATACCAGTTAAGAAAATTATAATAAATATATCAATAGCGGCCATATTGTTTTTGGACCAACTTGGGACATGGCTTTGGTGCCTTAAGAGGAAAAAGCTTTTACATAATGAAAAAAAAAAAAAAAAATACCCGCTTTTATTCTCAGTTTACTCAGCTCCTCATCCCGTTTTTAATCTATCAAGCAATAACTAGTTTTATTTCAAGAATTTTATTCGTGGGTTTGATTAAATAAGCCCATTTTATGAGCTTTAGTAAATTGATTGTGATGTAACAATGAACTTTGTGTTGTTCCCACAAACAATTCATGAAATTCTAATGAGTTGTGTTAAGATGCCAATTAGGCTTCTAAAAATAAAATAAAAACTGTTCATACTTGATAAAAATATTATTCAAATTTATAAAACATACTAACCATATTATTATTAAGAGAACAATATCCATTACAATTTGATTGAAACTGTAACAAAATTAGTATATATTAATTTGTTATATTTCAAATAATTTTAGTTTTTGATACTAGTAAGAATATTATAGATAATATAGAGAATGACTACTCATGTGTATAATATTAAAAGGATAGTATGAATAAAAAAAACTAAAAAGAAGAGAATAGAATTATTTTTTTCCCACCATTCTTCCTAGAAAAGAATTAAATGTTAGAATTTTACAATAGATAGAGTTTAAACAAAATTTAATTTACACTTAATAGAAAATAATTTTAACTAATAATATATTATTATTACAGTAAAACTTTTATATAATAATACTCAGCATACGAATAACCTCCATATAGTCATAAAAAATTCTAGTTTCAATTTGGGATAGTTATAAATAAAAATAAATTTCACATTGTAATAAGTTATAATTTTTCTCATTTTCATCTTAAGAAAGTTGCATCCACATAGTAATAATTATCTGAATATTCCAAAAAAATATATGTTATGTTACATTAAAAGTTTAAGATGAAATAAAATTTTATCTAAAGTTGCTTGAGACAATGATTTATGTTTTAGAGTTGTTATCACATCTTTTAACTTGCGGGTACATAATAATTCGCTAGCATGAACACTTTTTTTGTTGAAGCCAATTTTTTTTTTTTTTTTTTAGCTTTTCAACCATGTTTAGAGCTTTTTAGCACATTTTTTTTTTTAATTTTCGTACTATCATCCTCAGAGTTATTTCCTTTATCTTCTTTTCTAATTGTAGAAATAATTTATTCTTCAGTTAAAGCATACATGACTTGTTGCTTACTTGGATGGTAGAGGAAGACATTAATATCTATTCGATTAGTGTAGTGAAGTTATCGAATATGATCACTCAATTCTGTAATGACTCTTTCATTCTTCTTGTCTACTTCATTTATAATTTGCAATTCATTGACATCGAGGGTCCTAATTTTCCAATGCTTGAAACAATTGGCAAATGTTTGTGGCTGGTGAAGTAGGTGCCCCAGAGCTAATCAATTATTGTGGAATTGACTCTTTGTAATAATGTTTAATTGTTTATTAATTAATAAAAGACATTATCTACTATATCATGTAAACCATAGTTGTATGTATTGATATATGTCCTTAGAATGGTAGAACCGTGATGAGGGTATCAAGTGTTTCAAATCTTGATAGTGAGACCCTATGAGCATATATGGTGGCCATTCTAGAAATGTCTGTAGCCCCAATATTATTCTAACCAAGGGCACAGATAATACAATAAGGCTATCATAGTTTTGAATGACCTTGTCGAAAGGCAGTAACAAGTCTCACATTTTAAGGCTGTTTACTGACAACTTGGTGCAACACATAGGTGCTTGCTGTAGGCAAGTTCACTGGACTGACCCACCAGAAGATTTCATATAGATGGTAACCACAGTGTCTATGGAACAAAACCTCTAACGAATGGTGGTGCATGTGATCCTTAGACTTGAGATCATCGGAGCGCCTTGCGCACCGATTGGTGTAGTTTGACACTAACCCAACGTAGTTCTATTCAAAGCTGTCAATACGGTAGTGATTGACTGAATCGAGGAGTGTATCAAGACTATGGTGGATCGATAGAGGATTCATCACTCCTGGGTACGGGAGAAGTTTTCTCACGGTGCAATTTAGTTAATGACAATGATAGTAAATATGTGATCACGATGGGATTGAGTTGTTGCTCAATCTAATTCATTATTCTGGTAATTGATCCAGTAACTGAATACATATATATCGAGAGTAACTAAGGTTGACACTATTTATGTACCTCAGTCTTGATGAGACAACAAATAATGAAATGATTAGATTGTACGGTAACTAGGGATGGTTAACGAATTGAGCTGCTCGTGAGCCGGCTCGTTAACGGCTAGGTTTGTCTGATAACGAGCCGGCTCGACTCGGCTCGTGAGACAAAACGAGCCGAGTTCGAGCCATACAAGGCTCGACTCGTCAGGATCACAAGTTGCGCTTGGCTTAAAAAAGCAGGGTTTTTTTTGAGAATTTCTGAACTGTTGGGATTTAATTAAAATAATGCAAACAAGTTTTAAAAAATAACAAAATGGCCCCCATTATTAAAATCCCCAAATCGCGAAAAATCTGTCACAGTGGAACCCTGGCCGTAAAATTTGAATCAAACTCCTCCCAAAGTAACGATTTTCGGCCAGATCTTGTACATCTTCGTTAGCTTCGCGGGATCTTCGTGAGATATTGTTCATCGTCGTCGGACCTTCGGCAGCCATTGGATCTTCGTCATCGTCATCTGATCGTCGTTGGATCTTTGTCGGAACTTCGTCTTCTTCGTATGAGTTTCGTCAAATCTGATTGTTCTTCGTCGGATCTGAATCGTCTTCGTCAGATCTGAACTTTCTTCGTCGGTTCGTCATCATCTTCGTCGGACTTTAATCGGTGAGTAGGGGGTTTCTTCGTCGGATCTTGTGCTCCTTGTTTTGGGATTATTCCTGTACCAATGGGATGATAATATCTTTGGAATATTTGCGTAGTTCAACTAACCTCCATTGATATTTTTGTGAAAGAGCCCTATGTCATGTTCCTTTCTAAGCCATTGAGCACAATATTTTATCTGTTATATATTTTTCTATATTAATTGTTTTTGTTGGATTTTGAATCATTTTTAGTTGCCTTTTGGAAGTCTTATGCAAAATTTGGAGATTTCCAATTCTTTTCTTCGAGATCAATCTTTGGTGTACAAATGTGCCTGAAATTTAGTTTGAAAAATTAAAGGAATGGGAATAGATTTTCACCTTCACACACTGTAGATGATAAGGCTTTTAGTACTTTGGTTTTCCAGTTTTGTCTTCTTATGCGTCTTTATAAGTGTGAAGATGATAAGGCTAATCTAATGGTTAGTATTGTTATTCCTAAAACTTATTGCCTTATTAAATTTATTTCTGCAGGTATCAGAAGCATCTGTTAGTAGAAATCACAGTACTATGATTGTTCCTACTGGAAGTTCTCGGGACGAAGGGTGGACAACATTCAGAAACATTTTGGCAGAAATTAATGAAGCATCGCGGCTTTTCATATTGCCCAATCAGGCGTACTTGCAGAGCATGCATAAACCCCTTGTCTGTTTTTACACATACAATTGTTGCATTTATCAGATGTCTTACTTATCCCTTTTTTGGTTCTATTGTATGTGTGTGTGAAAATAGCAAAGTTCTGAACCTTTAGAGCGTCTTGTTGGGCTTTCAGATGATGTTGGGGCTGGCTTCATTTCTGGCCATAGTAGCCAACCTGCCTCTGCTTCTGAACTGAATGTTGACAGGTCGGTTGACTTGCCGGCACAAGATGAAATAGGTAACATGGGGGTTTCAAAAGTAATCAGAGCCGATCAGAGGAGATTCTTCTTTGATTTAGGGAGCAACAACAGGGGTCACTTCCTGAGGATATCTGAGGTGAAAAACGGAGGATATTTATGATTATTTATCTAAATTGGTGAGTTAAAATAAACTGTTAATGTTGTTTGCAAATATTAATCAAATTTATTTGAATTGGATTGGGGTCAAACTTGCTCTGCCTAGCAAATTAATGAAAAGTTAAATTATGATTTTTCAATTTTAAGCCCTTCTGAATTCGCCTGCCATATTTAAATATTTTAAACTAATTTTCTCATTTTCAATATTAAACATGATTCAGCTTCAAAATTATTTGGAGATGGCTGTTGCCCAGACAATCAGACTGCTGCCCAGACAAAGTTAAATTATGATTTGCATTTATTTGAATTTCAGACAGTCAGACTGCTGCCCAGCGAATTTTTGTAAAAAAAATTGAAAGAAAAAAAAAATCAGAGTTATTTGGAGTTAGAGTCAGCTCGAAATATGCCAAATCCATTACCGAGCCGAGCCGAGTCACATAATTTCTGGCTCCGGCTCAACTCGTTTATTATTCCTCTCTCACGAGTCGAGCTCGTTAAGGCGAAAACTCGGCTCGGCTCAGCTCGGCTCGATAACACCCCTAACGGTAACTATATCATTGACAGGTAGTTGCTTCGTTGAATCTGAATCTATCGGGTGACCATGATGTCTTTTTAGGGATCAATCTTGGTCTATGTGTAGTGAGACGATTCATTGGTGTTAATCGCGATACCACTCACTGTCGATATAATGAAGAGCCCACGGGTCACACACATAGAAGATAATTTAAGAACCGGTTTGTGCAAGGGGCGTTTTTGTCTTTTAGGATGAAAAAGTATTTTGGTAATCTCATAATGCAATTAAATTGCTAAGGTTGTTGCCTATATTTAATTTGAGATTATATTTAAATATATGTACACATATATTTAAATGGATTATTATTATTATTAAATGTTAATGTATTTCTATAAATACATTAATTGAAAATAATGATAATTATAATAAAATATCATGATTGGGAGTGTTAGGGTATAGGGGCTGTTTTAGTTGAAGCCCAAGCCTATTCCTTAATGGAATAGGGTTTTATGTGCAGTATATAAGTGCAAGGTTTTGTGATTTTCATAAGACAAGGGAAGAGATTCATTCATTCAATCTTATTCATTGAAAAAAAAGAAAACAGCCCTTTTCTCTCTATCTCACGCCACCTTTCTTCATTGAATCAAAGTTTCTTTGATTCTTGATTTGGTTCTTGATGCTAAAGAGGATCTAGCAAATCCCTCTTTAGCTCTTTGGGTTATCTTCGTGTAGATTACAGCTGGTTCGATCCTACTCTTGGATCGGTAGCGAACCCAGTCAGAGACAAGTTTGAAGGAGCCTCTAAACGTGCGTATGAACTCTAAACTTCACTCTAATTGTTCATATTATTACAGATTTTGATTTAACATATAAACTATATAATTTGTGTCCTGATCTTGGCTTTAATGGGAACGATCAATGCTCTAAAAATTTTGTTTTCTGTTGCCATGAGTTAGATCGTTTCCTCACAGTGGTATCAAAGCCTAGGGTACTAGATTTTACAGTTTAATGTATGGTTGATAGCATGTTGCCTTGTTGAATTTGTATAAAATCTGCCTTGAAAGCACGTTTTAAGAAATCAATATACTTGATTAATTTAATTTGTTGATGATCTGCAAGATTGGTATATTGAGATATGGATTTTTGTTAAGATCAGATGTTTAGATTGATTGTAAAATCCGATTGGTGTTCTATTGGTTGTTGGTTGAACTAATGTGTTACAGATCAATGTACACTTGCTGTGATCGTTGTTTGGCGTACTCGCTGATTATAAATCAGCTCTCGCTGCGACGATATAACCCATTGTCGCGGCAATCGTCCGTAGCGCGATCACTGATTAAATATCAGTGCTTGGCGCGATGATATAATTCATCGCCGCGACGATCATAGTCTAAGGTGCGCTCTGACGTAATTCAGCGCTCGCCATGGCGATCGTACGTGGTGCATGTACACAACGAAAATCAATGCACGCCGTGGCGATATAATCCATTGCCGCAACAAGCGTACTTTTGAGTGTGAGGTGCTAAAGTGAAAAGTTTCAAAACTTTTGGACCAAATATATAGATCTACAAATTGTCAGGAATTGATTGCTTTTTGAATGCATGCAATTCACTTGTTTGAATATTGCATAGTGCCTGGTACATGAGCCTTAGACCTATGGTGAATGTTTTAAAATATTTTTGGGTATGTATGGCTGTAAATTTTTTAAATAGGGTCTCTGTGTCCTGCCTTTCTTCCCCTTCTCGATGTACATTCTCTTCTCATCTCATTCCCTTCTAATGTAAATCGAGGTTTCTAAATTTATTGATGTAAAATTAGTTTGAGATTAATTTCACTATAAATTTAGTATGATGTATTTTGTAATGTAATTGAAGACGGAGCAAGGACGAGGCAATCATACTTAAAGACTCAAGATATTTATTACAGGACCCCTAGGTAACCCACTGATTCCTCTAGGCTCGAGGAAATTGGTTTTAGCTAGGCCATGTACCAGCACGTTTACATTTTTGCTTAGAATGCATGCTAAGGTTGAATGTTTAATAACATGCCAAATGATGTCATTCTAACAAAGATAATAAAACTAGTGAGACGTAAAATAAAAACCCTTAATTAAAGTATATTAAGTCACATGTATGCCTTCCATCACCAATGGTTTAATCAAAGCACTTTTTGTCGGAACCTTGTTCACCAAAGCGAAGGGTACACTTTTACCAGTGAGAGGTTAAATTTCATTGGAGTTTTCCTTAATGGTGATGGATCGACTTAAAATGACAGTTTTGCTTGTTCGGCAAAGCGAAGGTTGATAAACACGTCATAGGCATAGTAGAGAAGTATACTTGTTATGTGTACGTGGCGACATGTAGTGTCCACTCTATTGATACTGAGAATCACACTTGAGGACAATGGCTAGGCCATTGAATTGTGTGATTGGCTTGTTGGCTTGCTTCACATTTGAGGCTGATAGTAGGAGCTATCAACTGGTGTGGATTAAGTTTGTTGGCCTACCTAATCAACCTATTTTGGTAGTGATGGCAATGGGCCAGGCCGGGACCAGGTACCCCTTGGCCCAAGCCCAAGCCCAAGCCCAAGCCTGACCTCATGACAAAGGCCCAAGCCTGGCCCGAGCCCGTCACAGGTATGATAGGTAAAGCCCAAGTCCGACCCAACGGGCTTTTTGTAACCTTAGGCCCGACCCAAGCCTGCCTATTTTTATAATGTCAATTTTTTAAATATTAATAAATTTCAATTTTTTTTTATATTTTTAATTCTAGAAACAGTTTTTAAAAATTAATTTATTTTTGAATACTCACCAAATATATAAATAATATTCCACAAAGTGCATTTATCCATCCATGTAATTCTTAGAGTATAATATAACCATAAGAGCAACAATCAAATTGAGACAGTAAAATATGAACAAATACAAAACAGTAAACTCTATCACAAATTTCGAAGTTGTTGTCTCCTTAAGTTTTGCAAGCTCCAGTCAGGTAAGTCCACCTCTCTGCAATTATAAAATACATAAGAAGCATGCAACGCAAGAAAGACTAAATATCTAACCAATTGCATACCTATTCTTTGTCATCGTAATTCATCTTCTTCCTCATTAGTATCATCAAACAATGTCGAGCATGATTGTTGACCTAATAAGAATGCAAAATATGCATTAAAGACGATAAGACAAATACGTTAAAGAAATAAAAAATATACATTAAAGACAATAAGACAAATATGTTAAAGAATTAAAATTTTGATATAATCACTTTTTATATCCGCCCATAACCAATTTTGAGCACACATAGTTTGTTGTGATGTGGGCTTACTACCTTCCCACCCGTGCTAAATATAGACCCAGAAGTGACTATGGAGACAGGAATAGCAAGGATATCTCGAGCAATAGAAGAGAGGATTGGATATTTAGGCCTATTTGCCTTCCACCAAACTAATATGTCAAAGTTAGGAGTCCCAAGCAAAAGTTTCTCCTCTAAGTAAAAAATCTAGTTCTGACTTTCCTTCCATAACATTTGATTCTTGTGCAATATACATCTCAAAGTCACTAACGGACCCGTCCTCCTCACTATAAGGAATATTAGTCTGAAAAGAACGTGCATTGGGAGGAGGTTGACTACTTCTTTGCCTAGATTGGTACTGATTAAAAAAATCTGATAAAAATCCTTGAATTCTCATTATATGATCTTTACCATCAACTTCATAGATCAGAGGAAAAAAATAATCTAACGACTTCATTTTGTATTTAGGATCTAAAACACTCGCTACCCCCAAGACATCATGAATCACATCCCAATTCTTGCTAAATTTTTCAAGCATTTTTGTTGCCATATTTCTTATCAAATCATTCCTACATCTGAGCCAGCTAGACAATGCAATTCTAATTTCACAAACTTTTGGGAAATAAATATTAGATGTCAGATATTTTGTTCCAGAGAACAAGTTTATGGCAACATAAAATATTTTCAACTTTGAACAAACTTGTTCTGCCAACTCCCATTCCTCCTCAGTTGGCAAACATCTATATTGTGTCTCACAAAGCTTTAAATGAAAAAACACATCTTTGTAAATGAAACCTATTTCAAGCATTAAATAAGTTGAGTTCCAACGAGTCTTACAGTCAAGAGCCAACTTCTTTGTACTTCAATGCCTTCTTGACGTGACGCTTTAACAAATTTTTGCTCTCTTTTAGGAGATGCTGACCAATAAGCAACACTCTCACGGATTCTTGCAATTGCTTGTCTAATCACCAATAATCCATCTTGAACAATTAGATTCAGAACATGCGCACAACAACGCATATGAAACAATGAACCACGTAGCATAAGTGAGGCACTTGGAAGTTCGTTCAAGATATCTTCAACAACTGCATTATTGGTGGAGCAGTTATCAAACATCAATGTTGACAACTTTCTATCAATATTCCACTCATAAAAGCAGTCCATCAATGCCACAGCAAGCACATCTCTAGTATGTGGGTAAGGCACATATACAAATTTGCAACATTAATTATACATAAAAATTAATATTCATATAGCTACAAAAATTGTATTAAAAAATAAGAATGATAAAACCTTAAAAGATAATACCTTATGAGTCGACTTTGTAAGACCGAGTTGTTGTCAATAAAGTGTGTTGTGATCGTCATATATCCTTTGTTTTGATTGTTGGCAGCCCACAAATCCGAAGTGATAGCAATCCTACTCCGATTTTTGTTTAACAATTTCATTGTCTTCTCTTTTTCTACATCTTAAATCTTGAATATGTCTTTCTTAATAGTGTTTCTGCTCATAACCTTAAACAACGGTTGCACGTTGTTACAAAATCTCCTAAACCTATAATGATCAACCATGCTAAAAGGATATTCATGTAGAACAATCATCATTGTAAGGTCCTTCCTCATCGACTCTTGATCAAGCTGATGCAAAGTTAAGGTCATTTGAGACTTTTAACTTGAATCCTCTCCCGGGGTCATCGACAGAATCTTCTATAATACATCTCTGTATTTTTGCCTTGGATAGATTTTAGAATGTGAATGCAAATGCCTTGTCCCGTTTTTGGAACCACCAACAAGTTGTTTACGACAATAGTCATACTTAGCTTTATCCTTGCCATCAAACTTAACTTTCTTGAAATGTTGTCATACAACTGATTTTCTCCTTACAGTATTGTTGCAACTGTCAACATCATTAAGGGGGCCATCTTCTTCATGTGTTTCTTCCTCAGTATCTGCAATTGGAGATTGAATTTGATTACTTTTGATCGGATCCGGAGTCGACAATTTTTTTGATGAGTCAGAAGGTAGATTCATCTCCTCCTCTAAGCTTTTTCGTTTACCAAGTAAAGAAGTTTGAATTGACATGTTGAAACCTAAAAGAATGAAAAAAAGTATGAATATCAATAAACAATTCATACTAATCATCAAAAATCAAACATACCGATCAAAAATCAATACTATCAAGAAGAAACTAAATATAGGAGATAACATGTCCAGGAACTTTACCATCACGACAATAAAAGGAAAAAAAGAACAAATTACGCCAACAACTATAGAATCTAAAAAAGGGAATAGTTTTTCATGTTTCTTACTTCTTAAGCCAACCTCATATTGAAATTTGTGAAACCACAAATTCAAAACCTTTCCCACAACATAACTCTTTACATCTTCTATATAACATAAAAAAATTCCTTTTCCATCTCGTTGGAAACATAACTCTTTTCTACAACATAACTCTTTTCCACAAATTTGTGAAATCATGATGAAATCAAGGCAAAACATAAAAAAATATACAAAACTGACGTCTTTTGTATAAACATAAAAGAATAAGATGTCATATAAACAAAATCCTTTCCCAGATAACAATGTATCTCATCAACAAATCAACATCTTCTGAATTAGACAAATTCTGCTTCCTGCATTTATTTGTTTTGGAAAGGTAACAGAAACTGATAGCAAATGGCAAGAATGTTTGTGATTCCTGAATCTCAACAAACGTGTAAAAACATTTCATTTTCATCATAAAAATCCAAGCTTATTTATTCACTAATAAAGCTTCAAATGGAAACAAATTTAATTTCCCAACCATGATACTAAAAAATTGGAAAAAAAAAAATTAAGTATCAAAGAACAACACAAAACAAGGAGAACCCAAAAACAAAAAGCAAAACCATATTAGGTTTTTACACCATCAAATTATGAGTCACTTGAAATCGAAGAAGAAGAAAATGAAATGGTTTTGCTTCTACAAGTTACAGAGTTGCCCCACAAGCATAATTGATTTTGTTTCTACTATATTTAGAGGTGTGAAACATTAACCAACACAACAACACCCACAATTCCCTTCTCTTTAAATATCAATATCTAGAACAAATAAATTATAATGCATTCTCATTAATGCCCAGCAATCGACATCACAATACAAAACAACACACCAAGGAAAAAACTAGAGATAGAGATGGAAGAGTGATGAAGAGATCGGCGACGGCGAGATACTCCGGTGACAACGAGATCGGCGATGGTGAGACAATCTAGAGATCAAGATTGGAGATGTAATAGTGGGAGGAGATGGGAATATTGGAATGGGTAGGGTGTGTAGTTTAGTTTAGGGAATGGGATGGGATTAGGATTTGGGAAAAATGGGTATATATATATATATATATATATATATATATAAAAGATAATTTCGTAATTAAATATATAGTATAAGGGTAATTTAGTAAAATTAATACTAAAATTGTCAAGCCAGGCCAGGCCGGGCCTAAAAACATACCCATACCCGGCTTGTACCCGAGGTCGGGCCTTAAACTCAGGCCCAGGCCTAAGCCAAAGCCTAAGCCTGCGAACACTGGGTAAAGCTCGACCTTTCCGGGCCCGGCCAAGTACCTGGAAATATCAAGCCCATTGCCATCTCTACATTTTGGCTTGTTCACCAAAGCGAGGGTTTGAAATGGGCTAGATGGGATCTCGGTCCATTAGGAAAGCCAACAGGCTTTCCTGAGTTAATGGTGAGGGCTATTGACTTGAGAAAAAAAGTGGAAGCAATTGTTTAATAAAAGGCCTTATTAAATAATAATAATAAACATTGTAATAACGGTTACTTATTTTGCACTTGTAGATTCACTTAAAATTGAGCAAAATGATCCCAACATCACTGCGACAAATCATTGAACTGGGAGAGAAATGGAATGGTGAGAATTTCGTTGACTGGTATAGAAGTATAAACAATATACTTCAGTCAAGCGATAAATTATGCACCATTGAGCAGACTTTGTCACCAGAGCCTTCTGATAGTTCTATCAATGAGACTGGATATATATATGTGAAACATACACATGATGCGAAAGCAGAAATGACTAGATACATTGTGCTGCATCAATGACACCATTACTGTGATAGGAGTGCCAGAAAATGGACTTGGCTTCTATTCTTCATTTTCTTCAAAGAAATGAGAAACATATGGTGTCTCAACCATTATTCAGATGTAGGATGGAAGAGGGTACTAAAATTGGCGATCATATACTCAAGTTGACCGAGTAAATGAACAGGCTTGAGATTTTAGGATGCAGACTTAATGAAGGTTTAGCGATAAACCTAATATTACAGTCTTTGTCAGATTCTTACTCTCAATTTGTCTATGACTTCATTGAGGATGATAAGAAGAATACGTTTTCCAAGCTTCTGGATATGTTGAAGGCTACTAAGTCAGGCATGAAAATGTCAGGCAAGTTGAGCTAAACATACCTGAAGAAAAGTGGGATAGTATTAAAACTCCCATCTCCGTGTACACCCTAGCATAATGGTTATCTGAAAGAGGGGATTAGGACCTTACTTGATATGGTTATCTCCTTGATGAGTTTCTATGATTTGCCCACATGATTCTAGGGTTATGCCTTAGAGACTGCGACTCACGTACCAAACCATGTGCCGTCAAGGTTTATAGATAAGACTCCATATAATCAATGGAGTGGGCAAAAACCCAACTTGTCTTATCTAAAGATTTGGGTTGCGAAGCTTATGTCAAGAAATTGACTTCGAACAAGCTGGACCCGAAATCCTGCATATGTATATTTGTAGGGTATCCTAAGAAGACCAAAGGATACTATTTCTACCATCTAGAACAATGCAAATTTTTGATGCTTGTACTGGTGTCTTCCTAGAAAAGGAATTTTTTTATAAGAAGTACTAGTGGGAGAAAACTAAAACTTGATGAAGTTCTAGAACCACAAGATACATTAGACAAAGGACATGAAGATGTGCCACAAGAGGTGGTTGAACATCTCGAGGAGGTTACTCTACAATTTGTAGATCAAAGTGAACCACCTCAGGTAGCACAACAACTACGTAGATTTGGGAGAGTATGTCGTGAGCTCGAGAGATATGGTTTTCTTGTTACTCAACGTGGTGACGTAGGGTCTACCAAGACAATGAACTCAGAACTTGCGATGAAGCTATATCGGATCCATATTTCGTTAAATGGTTTAAAGCCATAAAATTTGAGATGAACTCCATGTACCAGAACCAGTCATGGTTTTCTGGTGGATTCACCTAAAAGGGTAAAACCCATAGGGTGTAAATAGGTCTTTAAGGAGAAGACTGACATGGATGACAAGGTGCATACATATAAAGCACAACTGGTTGCCAAAGGTTTCAAACAAATTCATGGTATTGACTATGAAGAAGCCTTTTACCGGTTGCCATGATTAGATCCATATAGATTATGCTTACGATTACTACACATAAGGACTATGAGATTTGACAAATAAATGTCATAACTGCTTTCCTGAATGGAAACCTTGAAGAGGATGTGTATATGACACAACTCGATGGTTTCATTCTCGATGGACAAGCTAATGACTATGAGATTTGGCAAATAAATGTCATTGCTGCTTTCCTGAATGGAAACCTTGAAGAGGATGTGTATATGACACAACCCGATGGTTTCATTCTCGATGGACAAGCTAATGACTATGAGATTTGGCAAATAAATGTCATTGCTGCTTTCCTGAATGGAAACCTTGAAGAGGATGTGTATATGACACAACCCAATGGTTTCGTTCTTGATGGAAAAACTAATAAGATATGCAAGTTGCAGAGGTCTATATATGGACTTAAGCAAGCTTCAAGGAGCTGGAACATTCGTTTTGATGAAGTCGTAAAAGAATTTGGTTTTATCAAGAACGAAGATGAGACTTGTGTTTACAAGAAGTTAAGTGGGAGCGTAGTGGCATTCCTAGTGTTGCATATCGATGACATACTTCTGATCGGGAATGATATACCAAACTTGTAGTCGGTAAAGACTTGGTTATCCAAGTGCTTCTCCATAAAAGACTTAGGAGAAGCAGCCTACATCCTCGAAATAAAGATCTATCATGATAGATGGCGTAGGTTGCTTAACCTAAGTTAGTACATAGACAAGGTACTGAACATATTCAGTATAGAAGAATC